GTGACACACTTTCAGGTAAAGCCCAGGTGGATGAAAAAGTTTCTGAGAAACATCACAGGATTGTTTCACTGACACATTATCTGCCTTTGAAAGTTCCAGCTCTTCCTCACCTCCAAACGCTCTTCCTCACCTCTTCTGCACTCCTCTCCTTCTTCAGCTTGAAGTGTGACTTTGATGCTCGGTTAGCATCCACATATTTATGTGAAAGGATGCCAATCAAACAATAAGCCGCACCTCCCTCAGGACGTGGTATAGTTTGAGGTTACTCCTTGGAGTAAACGACGCACCACAATTAGCTGAACAAACTGAAGCTGAGATGAAGAGCGACCTGACTGTATGGAAACATGTTCCTGCGGGGGGATGAGTATAATTAGTGAAGAATACCCCTGAAATCAGGTCGCCTAGCCTCCTACAAACACTGTTCCCCGGTCACTGTGGCAGCAGTGAATGAAGCAGGAACATCGGCCTGTGACAGCTTTACTACACTCGCTACTATTTTTAATACTGCCCTTCGATACCTAAAAACAGGCTGAGCTCAAAGCAGGATCTGACCGACAGAAACAACAGCATCAGCTGATCATCTCAGAGAACCGGCTCTGATCTCTGACACGATGAGGTTGTTAGTGAAGCTGGAGGCGAAGCTTCGGACTGCAGGCTGGGTTTACTTTATGCTGCTCTTGTTTCTCAGACCGAAACTTCTTCATTAAAGCCAGAAACGGTAACATCTTGTGAAAATTGGTTTCATTTTTAGATCGCTGTCAGAAACTCTTCATCCAGTTGTAATGAAACTGGAGTCGTATGGATCCCACAATGTGTGACCTTTGACCTCTACTCTGGCCATGGAACTCACACTAAATATCTTTTTTGAGGTTTGACACACACACACACACACACACACACACACACACACACACACACACACACACACACACACCATACTGACAGTTAACCCCGCCTCCCTTCATTGCTGTGATTGGCTGCCCAGTATGCCACCCTGCCCTTAGACTTGGTGTTTCTCAGCTTACGTCACTTCTTCTCGTGCTTTTTAAATGTGTGCAGTAACAAAACGTTGTGCTGTGTTTCTTGTTAGATAAATGTTTTCAGCAGGAAGTGAGTTAAACACCTGAGGATGATGATGTTAGAGTGGAGGGTTGGACACGTTTACCCTTTGATGGTGCTCGGACCTGTGCAGAGGACAGATGAGGCTGCAGGATGTTTCCTTGATACCGAGCTTCATGCTTCATATCATATACTGTGATGAAGATGAGGAGTTCTGTATTCAGCAGGAGCTTCGTCCCTGAACATGATCCTGACCCCGGGTTCACCTGCATCGCTCACACTGCATCAGACAGGAAGCGCTTACACACAGAGCAGCTGCTGCTGTGAGTGAGGCTCAGGTAGAGCGGCTTCATAAGAACCTTTTACTCCTCCTCCTCTTCATCCCTGCCCTGAATGAGAACATCAGACTGTGTACAACACAAGAACAAAGCTTCAGACAGCAGACAGTTCACTCTGACCTCTGACCTTGCTCTCTGTTTCCTGGGAACAGAGTGAGAAAAGAGTGAGCAAAGCCTGAAAATTCACACACCCGAGTTTTTGTTGAACCTCCTGACAAATGAAATATAAACCTTGCACCTGTTTCACATCTATGGGCATTTTTGTACCTTTTTAAAAACTTTCCAGAAAAACTTATTTCAGTTTTTCTGAAAAAGAAATCACACTGCTGATGCGGAAGTCTCCATAACTCCCCCAAACTCTCCAAAGCTCCCATATAAAATATAAATCTCCTGGTGTTCAGGGCCACGCTCAGGTGAGGGGCTGCTCTCAAGTGCTGCCGTTTTTATGGCAGCAGGTTTTCCGTGGGGGGAGTTGATGAAGCATGATGGGTGCAGATGGTTATCAGCACCTTTGACCTCCGTGCTGATGAAGTCAGCAGAGCCGTGCAGGTTCACTGGTTCCTCTGGTCAAGCGTGCCTCCATCTAAACGTGGGAGCTGATAAGACACGTCGATTTTTCCACACCACCCACAAAACGCTGATGAGACAAAGAGAGAGTTTAACTAGATCCAAAAAAGAGAAGCCGAGCACTTCAGACGAACAAGACGAGGAGCAGAGACCTCTGATCACCTGTCCGTGGTTTCTGCTTTTATGGATAATCAAATAATGAAATGAAGGTCTTTGTTTTCACTGGTTCTCACTTTAAAGACATGTTTCATGATTGCTGTGTATAGGTTTTTTTTCCCTTGTGCTTTTCTCGTCTTTAACAAAAGTTTAATTATTGATTACTGAGTGAAACACATCTGACTCTCATTATGATGCATCAATTATCAACCAAGTTAAAATGGTTTCATGAGTTTTTAGATGAGATTCTGACATTTCTGTGGATGGCACACATACCTATATTTAAATAACAGATCTGGCAATACATCACGTTAAACCAGATGTTCTCCCTCTCGCCCTGGTACCGGGGGCATTGGGATTCAAACAATTAAAATGCATTGATACGCTTTTAAGCAGAAAACAGTAAACTTATTTTAAGACAATCATGCAGAAGCTCTCAATGTGGTGGGCCACATTTGGCCTGCAGCCTTCAGTTTGAGACGTGCTGTCAGGTAAGGACCTATAATAACACAGAGAAACCAAGAGCAAGAGCTTGGCGACAGCGGGAAGGAAAAACTCCTTTCAAGCAAGAAGAAACCTCCAGCAGAACCAGGTTCACGAGGGACGGCGACTGGCTGCTGGTGAAAACAATAACATGATTGATTTTATACACAAAACCTGATTAAATATAATTTCCTCATCAACAGCACATTGCTTATTGAAATCTGATTAGATTATCAACAGATCACCATAAAGATACACAAACTTGGGCCCACTTGCTACATTTGCCAAACCTGTCAGGAACCTTGGTGTAACTCTTGACTCAGCTCTGACTAAATCTCTGGTCTGCTCCTGTTTTTATCACCTGAGAAACATTGCTAAGCTGAGTCCATTGTATCAGGCTCAGAATTAGAAATTGTCATTCATGCATTTGTTTCATCTCGTCTGGATTATTGTAATTCTTTGTTTACTTGTTTATGTAAAGCCTCTTTGGAGCATCTGTAAGTTGTTCAGAACGCTGCTGCAAAGCTTCTGACCAAGTCCTCCAAGTACTTCCATGTCACACCCCTACTGATCCAGCTGCACTGGCTCCCTATTAAATTCAGAATCCACTTTAAGGTTTTGACCTTGACTTTCAGGGCTCTGCATGGACAAAAACCAACATATATCAGTGAACTTTTACATCCATACATTCCCAGCAGGTCCCTGAGGTCATGTGATCAGGGCTTGCTGGTTGTCCAACACATGAGGCTGAAAACAAAAGGCGACAAAGCTTTTGGAACTGTGGCCCCCAGACTGTGAAACTCTCTCCCTTTGAGCCTGAGATCTGTGGACTCAGTGGTCGCTTTTAAAAAACAGCTAAAAACTCATCTTTTTAAACTTGCTTTTGGTTGATTTTTATTTTTATGTTTTAGCTTCTGTGAAGCACTTTGTGGTTTTTATCTTGAAAGGTGCTATATAAATTAAATTTTACTTTTTTATTTACTTTACAGCAATCACACACACACAAAGCACCGATCCCATGTACAGGACATGCCGATCCGATCCGGAAACTGGACATCTCACAGATTCCCAAAGTCCAGATTCCATCGCTCTTCAATCAAAATTCACTGAACCAGCAGCAAAAGTAGATCAAAACTACACTACAGGTCAACACCCCCCCACCCCCACCCCTCAAGAAAGCCTAATTTTTACCATTCAGTACTAAAGCAATTTCAAGTTTCACAAATTATGCCAAAATGCAAAACGCTCAGCTGTGTCTAATAAAACCTCTGTCATCATTAATAATAAGTTACCAGTAAAAATCTGTTTAAATAACATAAAGGTTAATAAGTGTCAGGTGAATGATGTCTTTTTTTAAAATAAAGTGCTCATAAATGTTTTCATGTTGTTTTAAACTGAAGGAGAAAACAGAAAGTAGGCTAAGCTTCAGCATCAGGACGACCAGGACGGGACCACCAGACTCCATTCAAAAATCTGCGAAATGTACCTGGACAGACCTGTGAGCAAGTACTAAGTACTTTTACTTTACTCCAGTTCTCGATCCTAGTTTGTGTGTGTCGGTGTGTAAGTGCGTGCTTGTTTGTTTTCTCTCACAGGAAATCTGGAAACGTGACTGGAATTAAACACATCCACTTCCCACGGTAAAGATAACACATCACAGTCACGTCACAGCAGCAGCATAGCGAAACCTTCCGCTTTAATTCCACCGTTAGTGTTAGAGTGAGCGAGGCTGACCTCGTGAATGTGACCTTATCCCGAGTTGATAGGAGACATTAGGCTCGTTTATCCTGATGCTTTTATTCTGATGCGTCACACGTGAGAACGTGTTGACATGTAAACACAGGTGAACCTCCGGATGTTGATCTTCGGTGTTTAGATTCAGGGTTCAGGACTACCACAGGCACAGGCTGTCGCTGACCTGCCGGGAGTCCGTCTGAGTCTCCAATATTGAAATAATATTTATTTAATATTTTTGCAGCATTGAATTAAAAGTATGAATGCAGCAGTGCTGGTGGAGGGTTCGGCTCATTTAACCTTCCACAATGTGAACAGCTGTTCGCTCCGATCAGTTGACCCCATGTTATCATGTTAAAGCTCTGCTGTACCTGACACCATATTCATGTTCAGGTGTGCTGAGGTGACACTTGAGCTCAGGAGAGTTTCTGTCACATTAAATCAAACCTGAAGTCCAAACTTTATGCGCTGAGTTCACTGCTGCTCGGAAATTCCTCCTCTGCGTGTGGAAATAACCAATTAACTCCGCAAGTTCATTACTCCTCAATAAACCATTAACAGCCCCCCTCAACCGAAACCTTCCGCTCTGATTGGTCCGAGCCCCGCTGACTGTGTATAAATGCAGGAGACTCAGCTGGAGACAGCAGACACACAGCACGTTCTCCTCCTGCTGCTTCATCTTTATCCTCAGTGTGAGGCACCATGCTCCGCGGCTCCGCTCTGCTCCTCCTCCTCCTCTGCTCCTCCTCCGCCTTCGAGCCTCTGCCGGAGGAGGCGGCTCCCCGCCGGGCCCGTTTCTCCGCCAACAGCCCGAGTGAGTACTTGTGTTACTGCACTCACAGTAGTCTGCTACAAGTACAAGTACTGCAGTGAACGCATTAATGTTTGGAGTCTGTACCTGATTATTACCGGATCAATAAGCTGATATTTGATCGGTTATTGGCTTTAAATCTTCTAAACACAGCAGCAGGTGTTCTTCATCCTCTCACTTCTGTCTGTCGTTGAAGTATTATTAGCATAAAAACTGTCTTTTAAAAGAAAGCTGAAGTTTGATCAGCGACCATTAATGGACTCATGTATTGTTTTTTGAAGGGGTGGGGGGGTGATCATCTCAGTTCCAGTATGGAGTACTGATAACTTTAGAAAACTTCCTGCCCTCCCTATTTGTAAAAACATAATTTATGCGTCACTTTTTTCTATTCAAATCATATTTTCCTTCCATTTGTTTGCATCATATTCAAGTCACATCTGTCCCATATGCGACTGCTTGATGGGTCAATCATCTGGAAAGCTCTGTGAGTCCAGTGTGAAGCATGTTTGTGTGTTTGCAGCTGATGTGGCCAGATGTTTGAGCGGCGCCGTGACCGTCGGCTGTGGGTTCTTCTCCTGTCTGGAAAACTCCACCTGCGACACCGACGGGATGCACGAGCTCTGCGAGCTGTTCCTGCACACCGCCGCAAGCTTCAACACCGAGGTTAGTGACTTACTGTCCACCTGTCCTCCACCTGTCCTCCACCTGTCGTCTGACCTCAATGTTCTCTCCACAGGGTAAGACGTTCGTCAAGAAGAGTCTGCACTGCATGTCTCAGGGAATTTCGGGCAAAGTCTTCCAGTCCATCCGCCGCTGCAACATCTTCCAGAGGATGATCGCTGAGGTTTGCCAGCTCACAAACTTCTATGCTACCTTATAAAAATCACTTCAGTTCTTTTTTATTTAGCTTTTGCTCATGAAGTTAAAGCTCCGTATTATATAGATATTAAAAATCCCAAGGAATGTCTCACAGCAGCAGCTGGTGAAGGTGGGGAAGACAAACTCTCCTTTAACTGGAGACAACTCCAGCAGAACCAGGCTAACCTGTTCAGTGTCTCCATCAGTTTATATATGAAAACACCTGTATCACTGTTAGCTTTAACCCCATCCTTTTAGTGTTGTAGCATCCTGTTACCTCTGCAGGTTAGAGGAGAGGAGAAAGTGCTTCTATGATCCTAAGTCAGTGTTTGTCCATCTCATCGAAGGTTCAAGAAGAGTGCTACACCAGCCTGGACATCTGCACTGTGGCTAGGACTAACCCTGACGCCATTGGAGAGGTGGTGCAGGTGCCTACTCATTTTCCCAACAGGTGAGCACCCAGTACACATACAAAATGGTGAGGCAATGCTCGCACCTGCTTTAGAGTGGAGATGCTAAAGCAATAGCACGATAACATACATGGTACCTAATTTAGCTTCTTAGCATGTTTTATAAATCTATAATTATAAAATTGGCCTTAAAGTAAAGTTGCAGCTACACCTAAAAAGTACATGCTACTGCCCCTCAGCTAGTTTCTGGAGGATGGCCAGTTATAAAAGGGGGACATTTAGGGAGGAGTTCTTAGAGAACTTTGGGCTCATACAGTAAATTTCAGTGTGTGGTTTGACAGACATGGTATTCAAGAGTCCCATCTGTCCTCTCACGTGCTGTTGCATGGTACATATTTGCTGCTGACCACTGTTTTTTCATACTGTACATTTTTACTATATAGTTTACTGTGGACACTGTTAAGTGGAGCCTGGAGTAAAACCTTCATGTGATGTTTGTATAGTGGTGGCAATTAAAAATATTGTTGTAAGAACGTAAAAATATCTTAAGAACAAGTTTAAGAGGAATCATTATATTAGCTCCTGTCTCTTTAAGAACTCTTAAAAAAGCCCTTTTTCTTCTGATTGGACACCTTCCGGAAGCCTGCTGAGGGGCGACTCCTGGTGCTTGTGAACTGTATTACTCACTAACAAAGAATTCGTTTTACATTAAAGTTATTTCTCAGTTATAATTTGAGTTTCATCTGGAAATTCCAGAACTTTCTTTTTCTTCTTACAGTTTGTGATATTTGTTCAATTGTGTTATTGAATTAGATTTTTTTTTAAAAATTAAGAATCTAATGTTCAGACGTATTCTGTGTTGTGTTTTAGTATTATTTAGGTAATGATTTCAGGCTTTCATCTTTGATAGTTTTTGATATATTCATGTTCAAACATGGCCTCAGTCTCAATGTGCAGAAAAAACAGGCCTGAAATGGGTCGACGGACAATTTTTAAGAAATCTTCAGCTGTTAAAAACTTTTTTTGATGTATGAAACTAAACTTTTACACCACTTATTATAAATGTTTAAATTTTGTACTGTAAAATTTTGATGCAAATCTGAAACTGTCAAGCAGAAGGCCAAGGTCTGAGATGAACATGTGTCTGTTTGGCCTGCAGGTACTACAGCACCCTGCTCCAGACGCTGCAGGCCTGCGACGAGCAGACGGTGGTGGCGGTGAGGGCCGGGATCGTGTCCCGGTTGGGCCCCGACATGGAAATCTTCCTCCAGCTCATCCAGAACAAACCCTGCACCGCAGAATCCGGCTCAGCCGCCTACAATAACCCCTCAAGCTGGAGGAACATGCCCGTGTTCAACATCCAGCCGGGCTTCAGAGGCCGAGACCCCACTCACCTGTTCGCCAGGAGGTCCGTAGACAGCCAGGAGGAAGAAGACGGAGTTAAAGCCCACGAGTAGTTGACGCAGCTTGATATAAACACACAGCCAGCCCTGACTACACAAACATCAGTCCAGCCACCGACTGACTATAAAAGCAACTTATTATTATAATGCATATTTATTTTTATTAAGTTAATTTATGCAGGAGGACAAGAGGCCGCGGAGGTGAGGAGATGCTCTCACGCTGGCCGTGGAGCTCATTTACTCCGTGTTGCTCATCTGTGCTGTCTCTGGTTCTGTGTTAGAAATAAACAATGTGATGTGATGGCTTTCGGCTCCTGTCATGTTCTTGTATGAATCCGACTTCCTCTGGGTGGGCGGGGCTTCAGTAGAGTGACAGTGCTGAGCGTGGAGAAACATGAATCGTTCTGGGTCAGTTTGAAACCTTTTATTGACACTGGAATGAGTTCAGGAAGGGCAACAAAAAATAGAACCTCAACTTAAAACAGAGGCCATTGAATAAACTAGAACAAAGCAGAGCTGCAAACCTGAAGCTCAGCTGCCCGACAGTTCAGGAGGAATCGTTATTGAGCTAAGATGATGCCGTTCAAAATCACAAAGCAACAAAGCGTGACACGCAACAGCCGGCCATTTTTATTTATACAGAATGTTTAAAACAACAGAAGCATGTCATGCAGTGCCATTAAAAAGTGTTTATGTTTATTCAGTATTCACATTTAAAGCTATATAGATTCATTCAAGTTGAAATGATTGGTGATACCGGTCCTGTATTTACTGTTTATACGATCATTCTCATGTAAGACCCTGCAATTCACCTTCAAACAGCTTAGAAAGGCCCTGGAGGGATCTGATTGGCTGCAGGGCAGCCAATAGGAAAGTGGAGCAAGCCCAGAGAGCAGGAGGAAAGCAGCACAGCTCACATTCAGATAAAATACAGTAAAATATGTAACATAAGGTCAAATGCGGTGGTATTTTTACTTTTATTTAGTGCTCCTTCACACTCCCAAAGACATCTCTGGTATTAGGAGGGAGCGGACGCGGGATCAGGGTTTTCTGATCAAATGACAACGGCTCAGAGAAAACTGTGAAGCTGCTCCCAAATAGGAAATGACTCACAGAAATGTAGAGACCAGCAATCACAGACAGTCAGTGACGTTCAGCACATACGAGATTAAAAAAAACAACAACTTTGCCAAAGCAAAGTGGGCGGGTCCCAAGAACTCAACTTCAAGGCGAACAATTCAAGCAACTACCAATGAGGGCACAGGATACTGGTAACTGACACATGCTAGTGTCTAAAAAACACACTAGAGGAAGCTTCGATGTGTACTTCCTGCTCCTGCTCAGCGTGTTCCCTCTGTGTTTACCTTCCACTCCTGGAATTTCCAGTATTCTCCGCTTCCTTTGGATTTTGGACTTTGTTTTGTCTGTTTCTGGATTTGTTCATGTGGATTTGACCTTTGTTGTGCTATATCTGCATTCGTGGCCCTTTGATGATACTAATCCTGCTCAAAAATGTAAAAGAATACCAGCGAAACATTTTAAAGTTACATTCTTAGGTACTATTGAAGTACTGTGAATACTGTGAGTAATGCTGCTTTAATATGATGTATTTTTAGTGTCATAGTTGCCCCCACCTGCTGTTATTGAGGGAGCAGCTGTAACAGTCATAGGTTTTGCATTAAAATGAATTTACAGTTTTGTCCCTATTAGTGAAAACGCATAAAGTGCACTGTTATATAATGAGTGTATTTAATAGAGACCGCCTGGCAGATTGTGGTCACTGAGTAAACAGGGACTCCAGAGTAAATATGACCTTGTGTAGGCGTTTCATCTCCGTGTTTCTCTTACAGTAAATGGACGACCCTCGTCCCGCCCTCAGGGGGCATCTGTAATCACACCACCAGGGTTTTAACCATAACTAGAGCCGCTGGTTCAGGCGTAGACGTGCTACGGGACACTTCTGTCGAGGTTGGAGCCTAAATCCCAGGACAAACTAACGTGTCAGTCCTCTCTGTTTCCACTGACGGTGAGTCATCTGCTGCATGAATGACTACAGGTACCACTGCTGTGACCTTTGACCCCACCAGTGCTCAGTCAGGCTGTTTGCTTTTGCTCTGCTCCATCATTTAACTAAAAATAAAATATTAAAGTTACATGAAAGTGAAAACAAAGTGAAAGCTATAATAAATTTAAAAACAAATAAAGAAATACACAGTGAGTCCAGCTTCTCTAAATCATGCCATAAATGCCATTTCTGTGTTGTGCTGATAATGTTATATATTCTTATATTCAATAAGGAATTAAACATATGTCACACAGAGATGTGGCTTTCCGCTTTCATTAAACCAGGGTTATTATGTTCTAATATTTATTATTATTATTATTTTATTTAGCTTCAAGTTTCCTTTTTATTTCAGCTCTGATGGAGTTTGTTTGATTGTCTGGTTATAATCACAGACGGTAAGTCTGTCAGATTTAAGACATGTAGAACAACATAACAGTAACCCAAAGACTCCAGTGGAGATCCCAGCCACACAAACATCTGCACGAAGCCTCTCGGTAAGTTTACTGTACAATAAAAATAAAATAAATACAGTAAAAGCAAAGAGATCAGTTCATATCAGTGAGAGGTTAAACAAAAGGAGATGATTCAAAGGCCTCTGACCTTCAACAGCCAGCACACTCTGATCCTGTTAACGAACACAGATAGACTGAACAGCTGTTTGCACAGAGGGTGAGTGGAGCGCCCTCTGTTTTCAATGATGCTGCAGATGTGTTACAGTCACCTAAAGTCATCCTGTCTTCCTTCTCTCACCCCAACCGGTCGCAGCAGATGGCCGCCCCTCCCTGAGCCTGGTTCTGCCGGAGGTTTCTTCCTGTTAAAAGGGAGTTTTTCCTTCCCACTGTTGCCAAAGTGCTTGCTCATAGGTGGTCATATGATTGTTGGGTTTTTCTCTGTATCTATTATTATAGGATATACAGTACAATATAAACTGCCTTGAGGCGACTGCTGTTGTGATTTGGCGCTATATAAATAAAATTGAATTGAATTGAATTGAATTGAATTGAAGACTTAGTGACATAATGGTGGTTGAGTTTGGTTTTGTTGTTGCTGCAGAGTGCTCAGAGTGTGGACGTCCCTGTAAGTTGATGCTTAGGACATGATGCGTTTCTGGTCCCTGCTGCTGCTGGTTCACTTCTCTCTGGCTCAGTCTGGTCTGGACTCAGAGTACACAGACACAGGTAAGAAGCGTCATGGGCGCTCTGTCTAAATGTGCTTTTGCTGACAAGCATTCTTCAAGAAAAACCATCCCAGTGTTTGCCACCTACCATTGTTCACTCCCAAACACAAACATAATGAGACAGGCAGGGCTGGACTGCGACAAAAAATCGGCCTGGGCGTTTTGACTAGAGACCAGCCCACCAGGTATTATAGGAAAAGCCATAAAGCCTTTGAATGAAAACAAACGCTGTTGTGACAGTGATGTACAGTCTTGTTGGTATATGTATGATTTCTATACATTTTACATCAGATGAAAACTTTGGTTGTAAGATTCAGATAATTATTTATTAAAAGCTAGACATTTTAAATGAGAATAAGAAAGAAAAGTATTTCTTTGTGCCCCCTCTCCCTGCTAATGCCCTACCTGGCCCCCAGGCAAAACTTTGCCAGACCCGACCCTGCACAGTTACCAGCCGTCAGCTACAAAGGATCCTGGTGTTATTTGTCTCTCAGAAACAGTTCATTACTTCCCTTCAACTCATTCTTGTCACCTAAAAGGTAAACCTGTTTCTCCATCACCTGTTCAGCTCTGATGAGTCAGTAAGGACGTCTCCTGGTTTCATCTTCATGTTTCCCTCTTCCCTCTTACCACATATCCAAACCGATATCATGACCAGCAGCTTTACAGCTGTGGCTCCAGCTGATACTAGAAATTAATATTAAATAAATTCTAACAACAGCTAATCAACCTTAAACGTGCTGCTGTTGTTTAGCTCGACATCCGCTGGTTTCCTGTTTCTGGCTCAAAGTGGGCAATAAACAAACAAGAGAGACGATCAGCTGATCATTGATCAGTTTCATGATTGAAGTAGCAACAGGAGAAGTAGTCTGCGTTTAATATGGCTTTTGTGTTGTTAACATGTTTAATGTTATGTATTTTCTTCTATTTAATCTCAAAAAGCTCCTAAAAACAGTCAGTGATCACCAGAGGTGGGTCGAGTATCCAAAAATTGTACTCAAGTAAGAGTAGCATTACTTTAAAATATTATTACTCAAGTAAAAGTGAAAAGTAGTTGTCAAAAAAGTTACTCAAGTAAGAGTAAAAAAGTACTTGGTGAAAAGACTAATCAAGTAGTGAGTAACTGTTTGAAATGTCCGATTTATTTTATAAATAAATGCTATCAGACAAACAAAAATAAATAAATATACAAATTTTAGTATTTTCAAAAGGAATGTATGTAAAAACATCAACAAATTAAGGCACAACAACAGTTTTTTACAACATAAAGCTATTTTCACCAATACCTACGGTGAATAATTTAAATAATTAAACAGTGCAAACCATTTCCAGTGACAAGATAAACTTTATATTCATTTTTGCTCCAAATGGCACAGCAGCCTCAGAGAAAACATTAGAACGATGCATCTTCAACATATGCACATACAAGGCAGCTCAGTTTACCATAAATTGTATGGGTGTGCATCTAGATTAGATTAGATTAGATAGAACTTTATTAATCCCTCGGGTGGGTTCCTCTGGGAAATTCGATTTCCAAAAAAGCACAGCACCGACAGAAGTTACAGAGTTACAGAATATTATATATATATATATATATATAATACACACACACACACATATATATATATAAATACAGAGACAATATAAATAAAATATACGAAGGGGATAAATAGAATAAATAGGAATAAAAATAAAAATACAAGTGAATTGCACATTCTATTTCTGCATATTTAGCAAAAATGTGCCATTTCTTCACTCACTCAGTGAGGTGATGGTTAAGCTTCAGCAGCAGTTTGCTCTCAAGGTTCTTTCTTTGAAGCTGTAACTGTTTAGCAGTGAACAGGAATCCTGCAGGACTAAGAAGTCCTTCACAAGCTCCAGATGCAAGAAGAGCTGTATTGATTTTGATCGAAAGCTTCTTGATGTGGGGAAAGCCATGCAATAAATCCACACCTCCAGTGAATGGACATGAAAGGTACCTCTCCAGCTCCCCTGCTTCTGGCTTTCCCAACCCCATGGATCCATCATATTGTACGAACGTGATAATTATGTATATTGTAATAACGTGATATTATATCGTTCAAACGTGAAATGTATATTGTTAGAACAATATACTTTTCACTCTATATCACGTTATAACGTGATATAGCTCTATACATAACTATATATACATATATACATACATATAAATATACATAACTGTTTTTGGGGTAAATAAAATGCAAGTAGGGATTGAAACTGCAGAATTAATGAATGCTGGAAATGCTAGCACTTGATATAGTGTTTTGATTTTGCTGCCACTGGTACCCACAATGCAATGCGTGAAAGTCACTTGGTCTGTCGGTCCAGCCCGTCGATCTCTATTCTTCCCATTCCTTGCTCAGACGAGCTGTCTGGCAGAAATTGAGGAAGTCTTTTGCTTTCTTGGCCATGCAGCTCTTTTCAGCAAACTACCACTTTCCCTAACAGCCGCATTAGGGGTGGGCGGTATAAACGGTATTCGGTAGAAACGATATGAATTTGGCCAACGGTAGAGATTTTGACTATTCTGCTCTACCGCAATAGCGCATGTTGATGGTGTCATCAAGCTGCGCCTGTTATGGTCAAAGCATCACAGCGGTTGCAAGCAATATCATCTGCAAATTATGCCAGGCGACAGTAATAGCGAAGAGATGAAGCACGTTTTCGAATATGAGTAAAGCCAAAAACTGCGCTTCCTCCACAACCGTACTTTTTATTCATTAATGTTGAATTCTCTCACAGCTGCTCTATTCCTATGTTGCTGCAGTATATTAATGACTAACCTCGTATTGTGGATGGATTATCTCAGTTGTTCTCCTGACTGAAGTTTGGTCTTTTTACAGCATCCTGCCATGCGATTGCATTTGTCCCTAACCATTGGGAACCCCCACTTTTATCGAGTGGGAAAAAGTTAGCTTCACTGTGTTTATGTTATGCTAACATAGCTGTATCGCTAGCGATCACGTAGCACATCATTATATACCAGCTAGTCCAACTTCAGTAACCCTAAAAAAGTCACTGCTGTTTAGTTTTCTGCCTTCATTTATGTCGGGAGTGAAAGCAGAGCTGTGTGTTTACATTTTTTCAAAAATCTCTCAGTCAGAACATGCTATATCATGTTTAAGTGGAAACTAGCGAGCTAACTTCCTGCTAACTTCTAACTCCGTTAAATTTAATAAATTCTATTTTCATGGATGCCTGGATGTTAAACTTAATTGTTACACCTGGTAAAGCATCAACGCTGATCATTTTATCAAAGATGAAAGAATTTAGACAGTTTTTAACTCTCAGTGATGCAGCAGTGTTCTTTTGACTTTGGGACCTGAAGTGGAAAGTTTTGGACCCAGATTACTCCGCGAGGCTCCTGACTATGGTAGCCATAATGCTCAGACAATCCATCAAGTGGTGCGGCTTCGTAGCTTACCAAATTGGTACTAAAACATTTTTGACAGATTTTTAAGTGACATGTACCACATAAAATTGGTTCGAGGTCAGTAAGCACAACCAGAATTCATACAGGCGCAATGGATTATAAGATGCACTGTTGATTTTTGAGAAAATTAAAGGATTTTAAGTGCGCCTAATAGTGCGGAAAATACGGTATACAGAAGAAAAGAAGATATTGCTAAACATATTGTTACCGCACATGCTTCAAATTATACCGCAATATGGATTTTAGGTCAATTTGCCCAGCCCTAAGCCCCATCCACATGCACCTTCACTCTTTGGTTTAGTCTAGTTTTGAAAGATTATGCCAACTCTTATAACTAACTTTGTGTGAAACAAATGTTATTAAATGACCAACTTACCAGGTCCCAGATACAATAAAAAGAACAGAGGAGGCAAACAGATGTTCTGTGGTTATTTGTTTATTGCTTGACTTGAGGCAGTGCTTGGGGATCAGGAAAGGGCTCCGAAGCTTGACTGAATGTCAAAAATGGGAAAGCCTCCAAAGATAAATGTTCAGATACAGCTCTTGTTGATTCTTTGACTGTCCTGTCTCCTGTCCCAGAACTGGGACCTGGGATGGCACACTACTGGAAAGGCCTGATGTTTAATTGGTATTGGCTCGAAAGCTCTGACTTATCCAATAGCAATACATCTTTCAACATTTTTCAGTGTCAGTAAATTTATTTATCTTCAAACACTTCAAACATTTATCACCATAAAATGTTTGAATTGAACAAGGTGGACACTGGGAATGTCTCAGTAATAATGGAAGGTGTTTAGTGGCAAAGAGTTCTTCACTGTAAACTGATGAGGTTTACCTCGTGGTGTCTCCTCACCAGGGATGGCTCCACAGTGGGTACAGCCAGAAATGAAGAAGCTCTATGCTGCGTTTGTCTCCAACATGATAAAAATGCAATGCAAAGCAACAGGACACCCGGTTCCCGCAATACAATGGTACAAGAACGGGAAACTGTTCAGGAGGGATCACAGAATCGGAGGCTTTCAGGTGTGTTTCTGGCTGTAAAGTGGAAATTGTAGAGGCACAACCAGATTTTAAACTTTACTTTATTTTCTGTCTTTACCTGTGCTCAATCTTTCAGATCAGAGAACACACGGGGACTCTAATAATGACGTCATTGGTTCCCTCAGATAAAGGGAACTACACCTGTTTGGTGGAGAATAAATATGGGCGCCTCCAACACACCTACCAGCTGAATGTACTTGGTAAGAGAGATTATCTGGCACACAGGGTCGTAATGTTAGTTTAACATAAAATGACAGAAAGGTCTCGGTCCAAACTAGTCTTGTTATTTTTCTTCAGTGTCCTTCCATGAATGGGTAACAGTATTCATGTCACCCATGACATGAATACTGTTACCCATTCATACTGATTGTGAATGGTACTGTGACCGATAGAACCAGAACACTCAAAAGTTCATTATTAACATTTTGCTCACAAACTGTTTCACTGCTAAATGTAAAAAGCCATTCTAGACTACAGTTAGAAAATCAATCCGCAGGTACGTCCTCCAGGTGTTACTGGTGACATGCTGTTCTCCTCTCTGTGGATATCTAACTCATTCGCAAAGATTACCCCTGTCTTCATCTCCAACCCACCTGTTTCAGAGCGTCCTAGCAGGCCCATCCTGCAGCAAGGGCTGCCGGCCAACCAGACGGCAGCTGTTGGCAGCGACGTGGAGTTTGTGTGCCGCGTTTTCAGCGACATACAACCTCACATGCAGTGGCTCAAACACATCATCATCAACGGCAGCAGTGTGGGACCGAACGGGCTGCCCTATGTTCGTGTTCTTAAAGTACGTACCAACACCACCAAATTCAGCTTTAGACCAGTTTTAGTAATTTTCTTTTGTTAGCTTTATTTTGCTGTGTGACACTCTTTACATCTATAATGAAGGAGGATAAATCTGATCTTTGTCAGAGCCCTTAGAATATGTTTCGTGAAATAAGCAGATCTTGGCTTAATTGGCTAAGTGATGAGGGTGAATTTGGTAGTACACACCTCTCCAATTAGAAGGAATACACTTTGTATCCCGGTGGTTTTCCCAGTGCTGGGAATGAGAGGTATATTGCGTGTGCATGTCATAATAAAGCTGCTGTGGCAGAATATACATCAGAAGTCCCCAAAATTTGCAATTTGTCTTGAAATCTTTGTTTTTCCTACATGAATAGATGATCCCAGTAGTCTTGGCTCGAGACAGGTGAAAACCCCCCCACAACACTTCTGTCCTGCAGTAATACCAACTGTCCACTATTAGCTGGCATGATGGAGTAACGAGTCAGTCATGTGACCAAAAACTATCAATCAGATGTGCAAATATCTGTGCAGTTATGAACAAAAAAAAATAAACAAACATAAAACCAAACAAATATGAAAATATATCATTATGAATATGAGCAGCTTAAAAACAGAAGAAAACCCTGAGATACATTTCAAAGAAATACACTTAAATTTGTTAAACATCATGACATAATACAAAGGCGCTTGGCACCCACTGCCTAGTACCCACTGCCTAGTTTTAGTCCACAGCATTCTTAAAACCGCCTGCTCCTGTAAGGAGCTGCATTGGGATCCCTTTCCCAGCACAAGACTAATCCAGGAGGTTGGTCTAACAGAGGAGGTTGCTAAGATAGTGTGAGATGAAGGCACATAATCTGCTGCTCCCAAAGGAACAGATCAAGAAAAAAGAAGACTTTCACTCAGGTGTGTCAACCTCTCATAATTTCCAGCCTCTGAAAACTGTGTGAACAGAACTGGGTAAAGTTGGTTTTTTTTAAAAGACATTTGCAATAACAACATATGGGAACATCACTTTTTGAATCATTGTTCTAACAGCTTACTGCCATTCAGGAAGCAATGTCCTGCTGGGAAAGCTGTTGAATTATGGATGAAAGCTGAGTTAGCTGACTAGACCTCCGATTCATCAGTCCAGTCTCAGCAACAGGAAATCTAACTGAACTGGAAATAAAGCTGAACCAAATCTTTATGCTTCAATTTATGATTTTGTGTTTTTAAATCCTTATATTTTCTCAGATTTGTGACAGGTATAAAGTACCCCCACACACAGCATGACACATTAACAGGTGTTTTATTTCCAGCTGTTTCTGACACGCTTACATGGCTTTAAAGCTGCCTCCTCCGGTATTCAAACCACACAGCTCAGACAGGTGATGAAGAGCAGCTGTGTGAAGGAATGTTACAGTTGCACTGAAACGTCTCCTGTACTCGTTTGTGGTGTTCCCCGGTCATAGACCCACAAGATTTATCAAAGAGGGATTCCACAAAATTGCAGGTATCAGGATGAACAAAACTTAATTCATGATGTGGTGATACTTGAACTACTACTTAAATTTTACATTTGTTCTCACGGTTCCCAGGCATGATTGGCTGTATAGATGGCACTCACATTCCAATCATTGCTCCTTCAGTAAATGAAGGAGACTATGTGAACAGGAAGTCTTTCCACAGCATTAATGTACAGGTACATAGTTCCCTGTAGCATTTCAAACTAACAAATTATTTCATTATAGTAATGGATGCTAATTTGTGTTCTCTGCACTGTGAAGATCATATGTGATGCTGCCAACATTATCACAAATGTGGAAGCCAACTGCTCAGCCTCTGTGAGTGGTGGTGGTGGAGGACCTCCACCTGTTTTTCGGGCCTCCGCTTCTTTTTCTGTTGGCTATAACGGGCCACATTTGAGCATACAGAGTAAGCAAATATGTACTTGTAATGTGCTCAGATAATTTCAATAAGTGCTTACAGAGGGGAAATGAATGTAGCCTCTAACTGCAATTGATTTACATCGGACAAACAGACCAAGCACTATGGCTCATAATACAATTACACCTTACCTGTTTGGACTATATTTTTATATTTCATTTTTACTTGCTGCCAGGAACGTTTGGGGCCTGTTGGGTTGGCGGAGAACGTCAGGGTTAGTTGAAGTAAAACCTGCTAGGGGGCAGGTTAGCTTCACGGAGTGTGTCGTCATAGTAACTCACTCAGAATTAATCTAAACTCGCTTTGTGAAACCGAAAACCCAGAGTTTTCATTAACTCAGGGTATACTTACTCAGAGTTTGCACTAAACCGGCTTCCTGAAATAGGGCCAAGGTCAGTTAGTTCATAAACAGTAAAAACATTGAGTGTCACGGCTGGGGCAGCAGTCGTGTGGTGTTACGAGAAAAGGACCCAAAATGCAGGTACTGGCTAGGGTGCGAGTGAGTGTTTATTTAAAGTGATGGCGAAGTACAAATACAGGAAATAAGGAACAGGGAGATACTAAAACCTAGACTGGGAAAAACTAATAAACAAACCTGAAAACATAAGGACACGGGACGATACGTGGAGATGACACGGAGGAAGCAAGGCAGAGAGACGTGGAGAAACACTGAATAACAGAGACGAACTGACAAGGAACACAGGCAGGCACACACTATAAATACACACAAGGTAATGCGGGAATGACACACCAGAGGGGAACACAGCTGAACCTAATTAGACACGACAAGACACAGACCTTCAAAGTAAAACAGGAACAAGCTGTTCTACAACACTAACTTAGGGGCACGAACAGAGCACAGAAAGGAGAACACTAAAACATTAAACACAAGAACCAAACCCTAAGAACTAATTCAAAATAAGAATTAACACAAAATCAGAAGAAGCTAGAAAATAATAACAATAAACTCAAAACGCTGGGTCACGGGCCCAGGACCATTCCATACAGTCTGATAAGGTGTGTCACCCTATTTCATAGAAATATATGCATTTCCCTGTTAACCTCTCAACATCCACCAAGTAATTCGCAAACCACCTAAGTTTATGGGTAGGGGTGGAGTTTGTCAAACGCAAAATCTGGAACAGGCCAGAGTTAACTCAAACCCCACCTTTTAATAAGGCTGTTGAAACACAATGTTGCACAATACAAAATCCACAGAGCAATGTGCAGAACAGGATTCAGAGTTTACAGGGAGGAACTAGGATAGCTTAACAGAAGCTGAGGCAAAGACTGAGGGCCGAGGACCACTCTGAGTATACAGCAGGGCAACTGGGAGAAGTGAAAACACCTGGGGAACAAGAACAGGGGTCCGTTCTTCGTACCTCGCTAAGTGGATTTGATTGTTGACGATTTCGCGTGATCTTGGATCGTTCGGTTCTCCGAAGCTCATCCGGGACTTGCTGTCATAGCAACAGATCCATAAGCGTAAACCTGCTCGGGAGCAGGTTTACTTTATGTAAACAGGATTAGATCGCGGCCACTCAGGTATGTCCGCTTCATTTATATGAAAGCAACAGCGATATTTTACCACTGTTTGTCCATAAATATATATTATCAATGTAACTAAAGATAATGCAGTATTTGATTCTTTTATTGATTTCATACAGATACATACAGGTCATTTCCTAAAAAAAGGGAAATGTACTATTAACATTCTATTAGGGGAGACCGGGGATAGTTGTAACGTGGGTCAGTTGTAACACTTCCAATTTCTCCAATCAGGGCTAAGTTTCAAATGATGTGACTCATCCTGTGCATGCCCAATTCAGTTCTGCTATCACATGTGAAAAATCAGCACATTTTGTCAAACACAGACAATTTAACATGAAAAAAAGTAAATTGTATGCCAAAAAGTAAGTTTTTCTACTTTATTTCAATTTGTAATAGCATTATCTGCTTTGCAGTTAAACTCATCAAACTTAAATTGTGTTATTTGTATGTCTATGGGGATATATTCTGAGTAGGTCTTTAGTGCTAATGTTTTAGCCGTTGGCTGTAATGTTAGCTAGTTCATGGCTATAGGAGTCTGGGTCAGTTGTAACAGCAACAGTCTGGGTTAGTTGTAACAATAATGCAGATGTTACAACTTACCGCACTATTACTTTAACTTATATTAAACAAGTTGGGGCAACGACATCAGCAGAGAGAGGTTCACTGGTCGCTTTTGTATATGCGGTTAATGCCATTGGCAACACAATTACTTCACTGTTTGTGTTCCCACACATACATTATGCAGACCTCTGTGTCAGAGATGGACCAGTAGGAAGTACTGGTAGTGGAAATAAATCAGGATGGGTACAAGAAACAGATTTCCTCATCTTTCTGAAGCACTCTGCAAACCACACCAAGGTAAGCCATGATAAAAAGTAATGGAATTGCGATGCTGGTGAACATCTACATTTTTTTTTTAGCTTCATTGTTATGTTCAAAATTGGTGCAAGAGTTGTAGGTTATAATGCCCACTGAGCCAATGAGGCCAAACTCAAGGAAGACCAACCAAAATTAATGAAATATTCAGTTGCAGAAAATTCCATAATTTGTCTTTTTTGGGGGTTGGAATATGTTCAAAAGCTAGATTTCTGCATTCTGTAACACACACACACACACAGAGCTACATAAATGGATGTAAGTGCATTCATGTGTTGAATAAACAAAGATTACATGTTAATGTTTTGTTAGTACCCTTATTTCATTGTGTTACATTTCACCCCAGGATATGTTACAACTAACCCAGACTATGGGGTTAATTGTAACATTTCACTCTTCGTGTTTGAGATCATACCATGCAATGGGTAATTGTGCTGCAGAGAAAATAGCTGCACTATTTAATAGAAGAGACATGTAAATACTTTGCATTACATTTTGAATCCACTACCTTAAAAGAGCTCCAATTTACAGACAGAAATATCAAAAATGTTACAACTATCCCCGGTCTCCCCTACATGTATGTGATTATTACAGATGTAATTCATATTTTAGAGTAGTAATAGTAAATTACTTCGCGTAATCAAGATGAGAGACCACGGCTATAAAAGCGAAGGTGGATTTGGGAAGTCTGTCGCAGCCATGTCCTGTCCGTATACGCGAGCAACCCATTGCGGAAGGTGCAAGATTGATAAGGAGAGTCCTCAGAATCCAGCGTATATTGCGGGATAGACAGGATCCTTTAGCTCAGCGCGACAGTGTGCTCATAGAGAGATATCGATTTTCCCGTGAGGGTATTATTCACTTAACCAACTTGTTGACGAGGGGGTGCAGGACCACCACCTGTCTTTTTGTGCTCTGCCCTTTTCTTGGTTGCTGTTATAAACAAACAAACAGATTGTTAGGTATTTTAGTACCATGGGAGCATTTACTGGATATTGTTTTATAGTGACATCATGCAGGAAAACTCTGTCATTCAATAAGGCCCCTTTGTTTCAGTGTTTTTCTCTTTGACCCAAGAATTGATGTGTGAGAATCACAGGCTGGTACAAGGTTGAAATACCACAGAGATCACTCCCTCAGCTACATTAGTTTCTTAATCTTTTAGACGCCTGTTGAAGGCCAAATGGTTTGTTTCAGATTTCACTAATGTAA